GGTGTGACGCGCGTCGCTGCGTGGCAGGACGGATTTTGTGCGCTCCGTCTTACACGACCAATAGCTTGGGCTTTCTTGACATAAGTATCACCCAAAAGAATTATTGTAAAACAACTTGGATATGTCAGTATATGCTCTTTGGAAGTTTTGTGCGAGGTTCATATAAACGTGGTGTTGTTCATACCATGTGCGATAGAGCCCGTCAAATGTGCACTAGCGAGATCATTTATTTGTGCGTACTATGTTAACAAGAAATGGTTATTCCGAGGAGTTTGTTGACAATAACAGTAGAGTTAGGTTGGAAAGCTTCAGCGTCAAGACGGAAAATCACAATTTGTCATCTAAGCCGTCAACGAATACGATCGATTGTCAACCGGACGTATTACGCAGCCAAATCCAGAACTGTGCACATGACGAGGAGTATACCCGCCCCGCTCCCTCGGCTAAAGAACACTCACTTCTGTACGCCAACTCAGGCGTAATTCATCAATTCCATTGTGGGCGCGGAGGCATTTACATAGGCATAACAGAAAGGAAATTACGTAGTCACACACAATTAACACAAAAAAGGTTTTCTGTCGTCAGCCCTCGGGAAACTCTCATGGCAGGTGTAGCAGTTCGCTGAGGTGCGGCGCCTGTGAAATGCTTGAGAGGGCGCTCCTGTTCTTCATCTCTTCCCTTGTAGGTACAACCCATCACAATTGTGGAACTACCTGGCAGTCGCAGCACAGTGGGAATCACCAGCTCACAATTGCAAGAATCTAGACGTCCACTGGCCGAAGGCTAGAGTTCTGTGACCTGGCCTGACCTGATCTCCTCTTTTCAGTCAGGAAGTTACGGACTACTTTTCGCAGTGATAGGTGCCATACTTGATCGCACTTCACCGAAGGAATTCTGGACGCTCGATTGGCCTTAGCCATTTTTTTCTGTACAAACTGAACTTGCCGGTACGTTTGAAATCGGTTGTATTCCTTGCTGCTCTAAATTATCAAAACGATTTTCAGTGTGTTTTGTCAATAAATTGCTCATATCAATTTACTGGCAACCCGTGTATTAAGTAAATATCAGTAATATACTATTTTTTAAATTCCTAACCGCACAGGTTAAGAGTAAAAATCTTAGTCCCTTCTGTGGTTATTTTTCTCGGGATTTCATCTATATCCCGATACAAGTGACACTAGTTGCTTTATTTACGAACGTTTCCAGAGTATACCCAAAGTTTTCTTTGCATAACTTTTCCTTTTTCTCTATGTTAACTTGCCTAAGGTTGCCTTCCCTTATTTGGCTACTGCATGTGGGAAAAAAGTGGTTAGACGAATAGAATGTGCTATATGTAAGCGTTTGGCACATTAGAAGTGTTCTGAAATCAAGCAGGAAACGTACAGTCCATTCTGCAAGTAACCTGACTTAGAGTGGATGTGTAAAACATGCAAGACTGCAGTGGCGCTGGCTTTCAGTGCCAAGGTGATAAGCGAGAAGCAAACTTTTCAAATGGTTCATAAACAGCAGGCCGCATAACGAAGCATAGCTGGTAGCATTACCCCGAAAAGATATGCCGAAGCTGTGACCACGGAGGGAAGTGTTGGAGGAAGTATCACAGGCCCACAGTCACAGTGTAAAGCAGTACAGATAGATACGCCAAAAGCGAAGAAACCGGCAAGGATGTTCGGGGCTGGTGGTGACTGTGCGTCAACCAGTGCAAAGAACTACCCACTACAGAAGAGAGTGCAAAACCTCACGGTCCTGGATCTTCAAAACAAAGTTAACCTCCTCCGCAGGGAGTTAGAAGCCCTATCTGGCAGTAGGATGAGAAACTGCAACAGAATAGTGCTCATTCTCAAAAACGAGGAGCCTTTGATCAGAGAATCAAAAACCCGGAGAGAAGTGGATCGACAGGAGGCGGTGGATATCCTGCGGGTGGAAGGATTAAATCCCCGAAATTCCCTCCAAAGAGTGCACAGGGTGGGAGTTTGGAAGAAACCTGGACCGAGTAGGCGAATTTCCGCACGACCGATTCTTGTAGAATTCAACAATTCGGGTGTACGAAATCTGCTCCTCGCGAGGGATGGTTGGATAGCGAATCGTACGCAGGGACGATTTAGGATAGTCCCTGACCAACCAAGGCATATTCTCAGGCCCCAAAATCGAGCGAAGCCCCAACAGCAGATACGTACAAAAACGCGGGTAGTGGGTCTTCGTACCTCTGACCCTGTGNAGGCGGTCATCATAGTGTGAGGACATATTGGAAGAAGAAGAATGGCAGAGTTGCCTTCAATCTCCCGCAGTAAGTGATACAGTAGGTCGGCACGGGGACACGACCTGTGCAACTAGCATGCCCCTAAAGAGTGCATCAGAGCTCAGGGGACAGGATTGTACAGTAAGATGTGCAACTCCACGCGAGGAGGTTATTGTAGAGGCCCCCAAAAACGTGGGTTCTCCTCGGATTCTTCGCCCGAAGAAAAATTCGAAATAAAAAATCGACAGAAGAGGATGAAACTGCTCTGTGCAAATACTTGCAGTGTCAGAAACAAGTGGGCCGAGGTTCTGATGGCAGCAGAGACCCAATAGGCTANAATAGGCTACCGCTGTAGGAATAACAGAAACCTGGCTCTCAGAGAGTGATTCAAACCCTAGTATAGTTCAGGATAACTTTGTTACCTACAGAACAGATAGGGGTGGCTCTGTACAAAATGGAGGAGCAGCCCTGTTTCTAAGAACCCACTTATGCTCAGTAGAATCGAATACTAAGGTTTCTACTCTCAATGTGCAGCTAGTTGCAGTGGATCTTATTACAAATAGCAGAAAAATGTCCATCGTCTGCGTGTATAGGGGTCCTAGTGCCACGCATTTGGGGGACCAACAATCTAGATGTAACTACCAAAACCCGATTGTCCTGGTCCGAGCAAAACGACAAAAACCTCATCTGTATGCGCTCAATCAAATGATCCTTCGCTTGTTCTGGATAGCGATAAACAAATCTCAGAGCAACGCGTAGCCCAAATTATCGAGAACCAAGTCGATCCAAAAATAATCTACGGTAGTATTTTTGCATTAATCACAAATACATAAAGCAGTCATACCTCTGATAGTACGCCTGATTCACTATCCAGCGAAACTTTTACGAATATTCACAGAAAATATCTGCGGTAATAAAAAGTGAATAATAAAGTGAGTGATTTGTACTACCTTTCAGATAATTCTGGACCAATAGGAAACTTCTGCACGCTTCAACAGATCAAGCAAAATAATCTTGAGCGTTACAGCTAAAACGGGTTCAATATAACCGAAAGCAACGGGTAGTTCAACAACAAGCGTCCAATAAAAACTTTTGTCGCAATAAAACAAGTAAAGCACTGAATCTCATTTACATGTAAGAGTAAAACACTTGAAGTGTGTCCAATAGATATGCTTCAGCGTAAAAAGGTGAAAAAGAAGGTTCAGAAGAGAAAACTTTTCCTGTCGGAAAGAATGCACGATAGAATGGTGAAGAAAGATAAGGAAATGCAAGGTAATTGAGAGGAATTTTCAGTCTNTAGACAACTTAGATCAAAATTCGACCAGACTGGTCGTTATGGGTGACTTCAATCTTAGGTATGTTGACAGGGAGCTCGGGAGGTGTCCTCGAGGCTCAGGTGAAAGCTACCTCGAGTGGATTCAATCCCGGGTCCTTTATCAGCACGTGAAGGAGAACACCAGGTATCAGGAAGGCCCACAGCCGTCGCTGTTGAACCTGATCATCACAGCGCAGGAGGAAGAAGGAAAAGATCTAGAGTATCACCCTCCTGTCAATAAAAGTGATCATCTTCTCATCAAGATGACACTTCAGTTGAAACTACCCAAACCCCGTGAAGGGATGT